AAAAAAAACTCAAAAACTAGCAAATCAAAGATGAGGCTCCGCATTGGTAGTAATCTACTGATATGTCAAATTATATTCCTTGAGGATTCACCTAGTCAGATAAAAGAGGTAGATAGAAGGTCTAATCAATTAGAAACGTTTGTAGAAAGATCCGTGCCATATATACTTGCTATACCATGGCCAGGCTTTCTGGAGCAAGATCTCCTTATCGATAAGAAATATCTCTCTAATCCACATTATTAGAACTCGGGGGGATATAATTATGTGCTTATTGTTTACTAAATATGTTTTTGCCAAACTTATGACTTGAAGCAATTTATGCATCACCTTTTTTTACTACATTCGCAACGAAGTTTGAGTTTATCAGTTGTCGATGATTGAATTTTGTAAATAATACTCCAAAATTCTATCAAACTGCAAGATTCCGTTATAGAAATGCTACAGAAGAGGCGACCGAAAGTAATTTTACCACAAATTCACCCTTCGTCTTAGCATTTTTGAAAAATTGCAAGCTGGCTATAACAATCTCAAGGGTTCATGATTTTTCTGACCTAATTATCCTTTACGGTTCATTCGACATCTTCCACATAAAGAAAAATGAGTCCAAAACATAATTTAAAAATTTCTCAAATGTCCTATATTTGATGATTTGCAAGATAGATGGCCACATCAGTAATAGCATTGCTATCTAAGAGCAACTCCTCACTTTTACTTGTTTGAAGTGAAGGAAATCAATACACCATATTTGTTATTCTTTTATTTCTCAACAGTCTTTTCGACGCTCGTAAAACTGATGAAAGGTTTGCCCAAAACATTGAATATGTTCATGAGATTATCTTCTCAACCCTTTATTTACCGAAGTAACTAAACTGAAGATTTAGAATCTCAAAATATGAAATTAATGTAACTCCATTGTTTCTACCCACTTAGTTTGTCTCACAAAATAAATCTTCCGAATTTTCTTTAGGTAATCTGACGAAAGCTTCACTCAATAAAAACCAAAATACTAACCTGCTACCCCTAGACTCAAAGCCAAATCTCGATCATCCGATGCTTGTGCCACCCACATTTCAAGCATTTAATCGGAAATTTGAAGAGCGTGAGTTAAACGAAAATCTAAAATTTGAGAAGTCCAGAAAACCGGGTAACCAATCCTATGGATATTATTTAGGATCACAACTTAATTGACTAGGATCTTTCCCA